TGCTCTAGAGGAGTTGTACACCCCTAGCTGCCCCTGCAATTCAGTGGCCGAAAATACAATGTTTCGCTCCGGATGATCGCTGCAAAGTATGATCTGTGTTTTGATTTAGTGTGCTGATCTTAAAGGTGCTTTGAAAAATGTTGATACTCCGACTGATGCTCCTGCTGTTGTGGAGTGACTCATGCAGCCAGCTAGGGCTACAGGGTTTGGTAGCACATGTTGTTAACGTCGTTTATTGTGAAAATTCGGTCACAGTTCCTATGATCACTGTTTCATTGCTTTCATGGCTTTATTTTGGTGATTTTCGAAAAGTTTTTTGGTTTGGCCATGTTCGTTTGTTGTAGTACAGAGTTAGACTGATGGCCTTAATCTAAGTTGTCTTGTGGTTGTTGTTGTTTGACTTGTATCCCACTGGGATTTTTGCACACAGCGTTGGTGTGTAAAGGTGCTTTTTCTGCAATATTTTGCTGTCTTTTCTTGGATTTTCTGTTTGCACATAGTCACTTTAAGATGTTTACTTGTTCATGTTTTTGTTTTTTGTTTGTTGCGGTTGCACCCGATTCAAGAGCCGAATGGCTCACATGGCTGTACCTAATACAGGAACTTGAACTTGAGTGTACGTACGTATGTACTCACATGCATTGCGGCTATTGGAATATTGAGTCTGGTACCGAATTCGAAAAAAATTGTCTCTTCTTGCTATTTTGGTTGCCAAGACCCCGGCTAGGAAATAAATAAATGCCCACCGGGTCTTTATAATAAAAATAACGCAATTTATAACGCGCGCAAATTTGCGGACGTAACGTAATGACTCGTGAGTTGTTCGAACAGTGCGCTTGACTCTCATTGGCCAAGGAGCTGTCCCCAGGGGGAGGAGCCTACATAGGGCCCGCAATCTGATTGGAAGGTGGAGGACCGTCCAAATCCGATTGGTCGTCAGGGTGAATTTGAAAGGCTCAGTCATTTGTTATGCAGTCTATTCTTAGTCTTAAGCCTCACCTTACCATATTAATAAAAAGTGTGCCGTTCCTGGCCCTGCCCCCCCTCAACAATTATATATACGGAGTGGTATCTCCTGTAATCCCTCATTTACTTGATACAGCTGTCGGGCTGTGATGGTTCCACCTGAAGACGGAAGCTTGTGTTGCCTCCGAAACGTCGTGATTTTTATTTTTTATTTTACTTTTATTAATTTTAATTTTAATTTTTTACCTACGTGACTTTACCGAAAAAACCTAAGAATATGAATCCTTGCAGTCACGAAAGCTTCAAATCTAGAAGGAAGGGGGGAACCCAGTAGAAATGAGGAGCCGGTTGCGAGACTGTTTGGAGAAACGACGAAGGGGTTTGGTGGAGTCAGGAAAAGTTCCGGAAAGGAAGGGGGAAGGGGACAAAAGGGGCGGAGAGAAGCGGGTTCAGGGCGGCACCTGAACGAAGTAATTCCCTGATTTCGATTTAAAGCTTTCGTGACTGTAGGGATTCATCTTCTTGGTTCTTTCGGTAAAGTCACGTAGAAGGGAAATAATAAAAGAAGAAAAATAAAAACTAATTAAATAATTCTGTTTCGATTTAAAGCTTTCGTGACTGCAGGGATTCATCTTCTTGGTTCTTTCGGTAAAGTCACGTAGAAGGGAAGTAATACAATAATAAAAATAAAACATAATAAAATATAATGTTTTATTTTTATTATTTTATTATAATAAAATATTATGTTTTATTATGTGACTTTACCGAAAGAACCAAGAAGATAATTCCCTGATGTGTGACGCTCTGCGCCGACCATGTAATATAGACGAAATTCACGGCTTACCCGGGCTGGATCTCCTTTACACATGTAACAAAGATCCCCCATATAGCCTTAACAGACTGCTGGGGCAAGTGCTGTAAGCGAGCACCTATGAAGGCCGGCACGGCGCACGAGGGGGGTAGGTGGCCAGCACCACGCCCGGCCGTTTTTGTCTTCCCAGTGGCGATGTTTACACACAGCACCAGGTACTCATTTGATGCCGAGTCAACCTAGGGGAGGCCCAGAACTGGTTCAGATAACCGTCATTGATGTTGGGCCGCCGATTTTATAGCGCTGTGCGCTACACATGTAACACACACACATATATACACGCCTTACCGAGTCTCTGGATTCATTCGCAAGAGGGTCACATCTGGCCAGCTAAATCTTGACGTAAAGCTTTCGTTGCTGCAGGAATACATATTCTTTGGGTCTTTCGGTAAAGTCACGTAGATAGCTGCTGAGACCGACTGTTTTATAAGTTTAAAATGGGTGTAGCCTAAGGGTCATAAACGAAGTGGGCGGGGCTAGTGATGTTATTGGTATAAATTAGCATGTTAATGTGAGATCAGATGGTGACCTCCGCAATGACGGCGCGGAGGTGGCTATGTTAAATGTGAGAGATTAGCAGATTGAGGTGCAGCTCTGTGATTCCGTTGTCACGTCACTGCTGTAGAAAGAGGTTCCGCTCGAGGAAATGGGAGCACCCACACATTACCCTACCACAAACGACCTGCCGATCAACTAACCGTGTTGAACCCATTCATTGCATTGCGGGGTGGACATAGGGGGCGGTGATGGTGGGGGGGGGGGGGGGGCGAGGAGGGGGGGGGGCAATTTGAGAAAGTTGCCCCAACATTTCAACCGCTGTGTAAGGAGATTAAATTGAACCCTGGTGACCTGTGGACTACAAGTCCGGTATGTCACGTTCACTAAACTATTTAAACAAAAAATTGTGGCGGCAGCTGCAGCAGCAGTGAGGGTTGGTGGTTGACCGCACGCAAAAAATATTGCGAACGCCTTCCCGAAGTTAACTTTAACTTACTAACTACTACTATGTTTTATTTTTACCGAGACCCACTGAGCTTCATAGCTCTGTTTCAGAGGCGACCAGGCCACAAATGATAGCTCAACGAACTGGCTCTTCACGTGGAAATTTATAGCAGCCCAATACTGTAAACGCACGTCGATTCTAAATGTGGAGGGGAAAACCGGAGGACCCGGAAAAATATGTACGAGACCATGGGGGGGTGGAGAGAGAGACGCAAACTCCAAATATGCAGCAGGCGTCAGGGTCGGGATCGAACCCACGACCCCCTGCATACCAGGCGAGGGAGTTAACATCTTGCCATGGGATACAATTTGCAGCAGCTGGCACCACGTCTGGGTGCCTAACTTATTTTTTTGTAGATTTAGGTAGCGCCTTGGCCCAGGGCACTTTACAATAATTATATTATAAAATTGTACATGAGATGATAGTGGCTCAAATAAAGAGTGTGGCTATTAAGATTGGTGGTGTGGCTATGGTGACGGTGTGAGGACATGTGGCAATTATTAAAGAGGGGTTGGGGTAGCGAGTGATAGGGGTTGGGGTAGTGAGTGATAGGGGTTGGGGTAGTGATAGGGGTTGGGGTAGTGATAGGGGTTGGGGAAGCGAGTGATAGGGGTTGGGGTAGTGAGTGATAGGGGTTGGGGTAGTGAGTGATAGGGGTTGGGGTAGTGATAGGGGTTGGGGTAGTGAGTGATAGGGGTTGGGGTAGTGAGTGATAGGGGTTGGGGTAGTGATAGGGGTTGGGGTAGTGAGTGATAGGGGTTGGGGTAGTGATAGGGGTTGGGGTAGTGATAGGGGTTGGGGTAGTGAGTGGTAGGGGTTGGGGTTGAGTGATAGGGGTTGGGATAGTGAGTGATAGGGGTTGGGGTAGTGAGTGATAGGGGTTAAGGTAGTGAGTGATAGGGGTAGGGGTAGTGAGTGATAGGGGTTGGGGTAGTGAGTGATAGGGGTTGGGGTAGTGAGTGATAGGGGTTGGGGTAGTGATAGGGGTTGGGGTAGTGATAGGGGTTGGGGTAGTGATAGGGGTTGGGGTAGTGATAGGGGTTGGGGTAGTGAGTGATAGGGGTTGGGTAGTGAGTGATAGGGGTTGGGGTAGTGATAGGGGTAGTGATAGGGGTTGGGGAAGCGAGTGATAGGGTTGGGGTAGTGAGTGATAGGGGTTGGGTAGTGAGTGATAGGGGTTGGGGTAGTGATAGGGGTTGGGGTAGTGATAGGGGTGGGGGTAGTGATAGGGGTTGGGGTAGTGAGTGATAGGGGTTGGGTAGTGAGTGATAGGGGTTGGGGTAGTGATAGGGGTTGGGGTAGTGAGTGATAGGGGTTGGGGTAGTGATAGGGGTTGGGGTAGTGAGTGATAGGGGTTGGGGGAGTGATAGGGGTTGGGGTGGTGAGTGAGAGGGGTTGGGGTAGTGATAGGGGTTGGGGTAGTGATAGGGGTTGGGGTAGTGAGTGATAGGGGTTGGGGTAGTGATAGGGGTTGGGGTAGTGAGTGATAGGGGTTGGGGTAGTGATAGGGTTGGGGTAGGGATAGGGGTTTGGGGTAGTGAGTGATAGGGGTTGGGGTAGTGATAGGGGTTGGGGTAGTGAGTGATAGGGGTTGGGGGTGAGTGATAGGGGTTGGGTAGTGATAGGGGTTGGGTAGTGAGTGATAGGGGTAGTGAGTGATAGGGGTTGGGGTAGTGATAGGGGTAGTGAGTGATAGGGGTTGGGGTAGTGAGTGATAGGGGTTGGGGTAGTGATAGGGGTTGGGGTAGTGATAGGGGTTGGGGTAGTGATAGGGGTTGGGGTAGTGAGTGATAGGGGTTGGGGTAGTGATAGGGGTTGGGGTAGTGATAGGGGTTGGGGTAGTGAGTGATAGGGGTTGGGGTAGTGATAGGAGTTGGGGTAGTGAGTGATAGGGGTTGGGGTAGTGAGTGATAGGAGTTGGGATAGTGAGTGATAGGGGTTGGGGTAGTGAGTGATAGGGGTTGTGGTAGTGAGTGATAGGGGTTGGGGTAGTGAGTGATAGGGGTTGGGGTAGGCCTGGTCGTAGCTGGGTGGCCGGGGCAGGGAGTAGCAGTAGGGTAGGCACGGGAGAAGAGATGGGTTTTAAGGGAGGAACGTAAGCAGTTTAGTGAAAACGAGTGTTTTATGTGGAGTGGGAGTTTGTTAATAACTCATCCCAACCTGGTGGAGGGCGGTGAGTCCATCTTCATTGCAGAGGTCGGGGTTAACTCGGGTCTCCAGAATCTGTTTCACTGCACGCGTCAATAAACACACACACAGAGTCAAATTAGAGAGGGGCTGCCATCCGTTTAATTCTAGTAACCAATTGTTCCGCTTATTCTCCACTGAATTACACATTCAAATCGGACAACACGAAAAAAAATCGGTCAAAATATCCCCCATGTTCAGCAAGGCATGGGGAGGATCTTCATACAGCAAAGGGTTGGCCAAAGAGACTGTAAATCGTCATAATAATAATATAATTATAATAGTACCCACGCCACTCTTGCATATGAGACTCACCCCTATCTCTTTGAGCAAAATAATCTTGCATTGACCAGTGCTCCCCATCTCTCCCTGCTAAGGCACTTAATCGATTGACTCGATTTTATTTTCATTTGTTACACGGATGATGATGATGTCGATGGACTTGCTTAGCACTAGTTGCCCGGCTCTTTTACATGAGAGGTGGGTGGTGCTGCGTGATCACAGCAACAACAACACCAACAACAAAGACAACAAACATCAACATCGCAAGAGAAAGAGTCCAGCTGCGGGCGGCGGCCTTTTAAAGTAATTTTGTGCGACTAACAAACAAGGTATTTAACGACGCTCGTAAACGAAACACGCGCAAACGAAACAAGAGCTGAGCGGCGTGCAAAAGAAAGGATCGCGGAGCGCGCACATGCTTTGAAGTCGTTAAGACGTTTAAACAAAAAGACATTTGAGCCGGAAGAGGCAGTGATGAACTACGGAGATCTTTTTCACCGGTGTTCAGCGGTGCCAAATTAAACCGAGAGACAGGAAGAGGAACACGTGGACTAGTGGGGCGCCGTGGTCGCGAGATGTTAACTACCTCGCCTGGTATGCGGGAGGTCGTGGGTTCGATCCCGACCCTGACGACGCCTGCTGTATATTTGGAGTTTGCGTGTCTCTCTCCCCGTGGTCGCGTGGATTTTTCTACGGGCCCTGCGGTTTTTACTCCACATTTATAATCAACACGCGCTTAGAGTACATGGCTGTGATAGATTTCCAAGCGATAAGCCACCTCGTTGAGCCTATCACATGTGGCCAGGTCACTTCTGCTAAAAGAGCTAAACAGTTGAGCGGGCCTTACCTGGTAAAAAAACTAAATAACTTTAAGTAGTTTAGTTTACATATGCAGGTTTAAGACAGCTTAAGAGTGAGCTTGGGTTAGGACACGTCATGGCTAGAGGGGACAATGGGCAGCGGGGAGAACATACCAACTCCAAATATACAGACATCGGCATCGAACCCAAGACCTCCTGTATACCGGGCGAGGCCGTTAACATCTTGCCGCAGTGGCAGCGGGAAGAGAAGAGGAGTCCCGGTGAAGGAAGGCGAGGAGGAGGGGGAGACGGAATGACTAAGCCAAGATGTCAAAGGGGATGAGGGGGTTGTGGTGATGATGAGAGAAGGGAAGAGTGGAAGCAGAGAGAAGTGATCTGCACGAATTGAGCGGAGTCTGTCTTCACAGTGGGCGGGGGGAGAGGGGTGGGATGCAGGGTGGGGGTGACCACACACGGGTCACATGACTGCGGGAGGGCTTGAGCTGATTTAGATAGATTTTCATTCAGAAGCAAAAAAAATTATCACGCACTGGATTGTCACACGCTTGATTTGATGCGCGTTTCGTGAGCGGGAGAATCAATTCCAATTTTTTTTATTTATTCCCAGCGCACTATTGTGTCATTAGACGAAGCGTTCATTTGGACATCCCGTGACCCCCGTGTGTCAGAGGACTGTTGCACAAGAGATATTTATTGGACTTCAATTGAGAAATACTTCAGGTGGCATTTAAAAAAATAAATCTTCACACAACTTAGGGATTCACTTTCCCACTCACTCTGCTATGGGATTGGTATTCGTCGCAATGCAGCAAACCCCATATTTTAATTCTCAGAGCTGGAGTTTAAAACAAAAAATTAAGCTAAGAGTGAATTTAAATTAAGAATTACAATTTTTTACTCGGAATTATTTTATCGTGCAGTCATTGGCCGGGGCCCTACAGAGACCATCAACTTTGTACGAACTGGTTTAATCAGGCGTGGCTGAAACCTGAATGCGAACACAGGATCTCAGCGTTACCGGCTCAGCGGGCTGACCTGAGTCACCCGGTGCACCTCAAGCAATTGATGAGGTGGGCCTGGTGGTAGAATAGACACTGCACCCCGTGCAGCCTACATTGGCCGTCGGGGCAAGTACGTTTATAGCGAGCACATTCGAAGGCCAGCCGTGGTATTCGAGGTTAGCTAGTTTTGGCCGGCACCACGACCCCGGCTGCCTTTGTCTCCCCAGTGCTGATGTCCACACTCTGCACGAGGTATCACTGGAGGATGAGCAAACCTCGGGCGACGCTGCGGCGTTAGTGCTTGGCGCACTGCGCCACGAACCCGGCACGATTTCCATTACTAGCCACGACTAACGTGGGTAGCGGGTGACATCTGAACATGTCCAGGGTACCCCCCGCCACCCAACCATCACCAACCGGGGCTGGCCAGTGTTTTGTAACTTGCAATGTGTGATCAAACAACCTCCATGGCCGAGAGATGTGGGGAAGCATTTGTTGAGCGGTGCAGTGATAAAGGGCTGTACATTGCAATACAACCTCGGGAAAGCCCAGGACCAGTTTTATATTTTTAGACATTTATATTTTTTACTCGCCGCTGATGTTAGCCCGTGGCCGGATATCAAACTTGGGTCATCGGGGTCCGCAACGGACCATGCTGACTACTGTACCATCACTGCCCACTTTCTTTAAACACACACACAATAAATTAAATGCTGTCCATCAAATTTATCAATGTAGACTCAAGTCTAACATTATAATGTATGCCACCATCATCATAAATACTGCTCTTTTTCAGAGGCGACCTGGCCACAAATTGATAGCTCAATGAAGCGGCTTATCATGGCGTGGAAATTTGAAGCATGCAATTACTCTAAAACGCGTGTTTCAAAATGTGGTGGGGAAAAGCCGGAGGGGCCCGGAGAAGAACCCACGCGACCACGGGGAGAGAGACACGCAACTCCAAATATACAGCAGCAGGCGTCAGGGTCGGGATCGAACCCACGACCTCCTGTGTACCGGGCGAGGGAGGTAACATTTCCTAGCCACTGTGATGATGATGAGAAAGAGACACGCAACTCCAAATATACAGCAAGCGTCAGGGTCGGGATCGAACCCATGACCTCCTGTATACCTGGCGAGGTAACAGTGGGACATTCCATTGCTGGGGCAAAGCAGAACCAAGACTCCACTACCATCGTTAGCCACGGTCAATCCACTGCTGGATGAGGTCCTCCTCAAGCCGCCCGTCATATCTCAAGACCCCGGCGATGGAACAATCCACCCAGCACCTGCCTTGCAAGCGAACGGGAGCAGCAGCAGACCGCAATGTTTGCCCAAATATAAATACGAAGCCGAGAAGGGCGCACGCACGGAATGCGCGCGCACGCACGTTCGCGCAGACACGACCAACAACAACAACAACGACCGGGGTGGGTGGTGGCGTTCCGCCACAGGTAAACCGAGACGAGTAACAACACCACGAGAAGCACATCGACACAACCGCGAACTAACAACAGCCAAACAGCTACACAGTACGCCAGAGTGAATTATTGCCCCGGGGGTTGCGGGAGGGGGGGGGGCGGAAGGGGGTGGTGGTAGGTGGGAGGGGTATGCACGATGTTTTGCGAGTGTTTTGTGGGACAGCGAGTGAGCGAGCCAGTGAGCGAGCGTGTTGACGAGAGCGGACCCCTGCGTGAGGCTTTGCGAGGCTTTGCGTCCGGTTAGAGTTTCTCTGCGCACGGCGGTGAGCGGAGGGCGGAGGGGGGAGCTGCTGCCCGGTGTCACGTTGCCCTAAGTGGCTTTTCATCAGCCGTCGTTAATTATTGAGCGGTTCAGCTGCTTGCGGTTGCCGCTCCTTGAGTCCAGTGTGTGTGTGTGAGCGTGTGAGTGTTTTGTATGCGTTTCCTTGTGCGAGTGTTTGGTGTGTGTGCGCACACATTTGTGTGCGGAGCAGTCGTGTGTAGCGGTCAGCGGACTCCGTTATTAACCCAGTGGCCCTGTTCGATTCTCGGCCACGGCAAACACTTTCGAAAATCTGAACCGATCACAAGCTTCCCCCTGGGTCGACTCAACCTTACCTGGTACGGTTTGAAACATCAAATATAGGTTGTCGATGACTCAGACGTTAAGAGCACAGAGTTGGTACCGCTGTGGTTCTGAGTTCCAGTCCGGGATTCAATCGTCCGTTATTAAACCGGGTTCTCAGGAGTAGTAAGCTGGTCACCATTGACTCGCATAGGGACCCACAGGTTCACGGAGACTTAGTTGTATTTAAACAGGGTTCACAAATATATTGAGTTGATGGCTTTAACCCGGTCACCAATGACTGTTCTGAATAAAAAAAAAACATTCACCTTAATTTGTGGTTCTGCACTTAAGTTGGCTAAATTCCAGCTCTGAGAATTTACAAAAATCTGGTTGACAGACCTGTGACGAACATCAACGATAATATACTTTTGTAAGTGGCGCATTGTGTCCGTAGATCCCCACCAATGCGTCATCACCGTGTATGGAAAGCCAGGAAATTAACAGAACCTGCGGGGGGGGGGGGGGGGGGGGGGGGTAAACGGCCAGAACTAGCGGAGGGTAAAGGCCAGTTTTTTAAAGGGGTGAGTTTTCAAGACGGGACTTACACAGATCTAACGATTCTGATTGTCGCATCAGGAAAGCGTTCGTAAAGCTTGGGGGCCGCACTGCCAAAATCCCGATCACTCCCAGGAAATGAACCTTGACCTCGGAGTACTTAGATAGAAGACGATCCGAAGGAACTTCTCTGTGGCTGGGGTGCCACGGTGGCGAGATGTTGACTCGCTCGCCTGGTATGCAGTAGCTTGTGGCTTTGATCCCAACCCCGACGCCTGCTGTAAAACAAGTTTTAGTTTAGAGAGTACTGCCTCCGAAGGTGGACGATGTCACTCGAAGGGATGTTCGGGGGTAGTTCTGTGATGCTCACTTGCACTGGCCGATCTCTTACCTCGCAGAGTGGTGCCAACGACCCTTCCAGAACGTCGCATTCTCCGTCCCGTGACATCTCGATCAAAATTGTGGAGGAAAAAAAAAAGTCCCAGCACAATGTACGTCAAAATATCTGTTCCCCAGGCGCTTTTATGGTAAAACGATGCAACGGATTAATTTTGACGTTTGAGTCGAGCAGCGGTCTGCAACCTACGTGTCTCTGGAGCTGCATGTGGTGGCTCTCTAAGGACTGCAGCGCGGCTCTTAAAATTTGAAAGAAAAAAAAAGTCTCTTCTTGTTATTTGGGATGCTGACCCCTGACCATCGAAGTCCAGTTCACCATGGAAGTCCAGTTTACCACGGAAGTCCAGTTCATCATGGAAGTCCAGTTCACCATGGAAGTCCAGTTTACCGTGGAAGTCCAGTTTATCATTAAAGTCCAGTTCACCATGGAAGTCCAGTTTACCACGGAAGTCCAGTTCACCATGGAAGTCCAGTTTACCATGAAAGTCCAGTTCACCATGGAAGTCCAGTTTATCATTAACGTCCAGTCCACCGTGGAAGTCCAGTTCACCATGGAAGTCCAGTTCACCGTGGAAGTCCAGTTCACCTTGGAAGTCCAGTTCACCTTGGAAGTCCAGTTCACCATGGAAGTCCAGTTCACCATTTAAGTCGTACAGTTTACCATGGAAATTCAGTTCACTATGGAAGTCCAGTATACCATGGAAGTCGTACAGTTTACCATGGAAGTCCAGTTCACCATGGAAGTCGTCCAATTTACCATGGGAGTCCAGTTTACCACGGAAGTTCAGTTCATCATCGAAGTCTAGTTCACAATAGAAGTCGAGTTCACTATGGAAGTCTAGTTCACCATGGGGGGTTGTTTTAACCATACTTCACCACGATGGTCAGTGCGGACGGGTGAAGGTGGAGGGGTTGACTCACAGGGCCGGTTTGGATGTCACTCGCTACTCATATTTGGAATCCAACTGGGAAACTGTTTTTTGTGTTCAGTTTGTTGTCCTTTCTCCGCAAACTACGATTAGTACGGTTGGCTACGTGCGGTGCGAAAGAAGTCCAACATACGTACGTACTTGCAGAACTAACCACCAATAAACACTCAACCAATCTAACAAACAAATTAAAGTAGTAATAGATTTTTACCCTTTCAACTGGTACAAAAACTGACACCTTTATACAAGGCGTCATGTTTGCAATAACGACAACACAAGCAGTCAAAATGCAAACATATCATTATCATCATCAGAGTTGTTTCTTTTTGTTTGCATTTTGATTGCTTGTGTTGTGGTTATTGCAAACATGACGCCTTGTATAAAGGTGTCAGTTTTTGTACCAGTTGAAAGGGTAAAAACCTATTACTATATTTTGCCACTGGTAAAGGAGGTCTCATAGTAGTAAAACAAATTAACGTGAGGTCATCCACCGATGAGATGGCAGTGGTAAAGAAATCAGCTCGTGGGCAGAAGATGCTACGTGGACCGTTCACATCGCCGGGCCGTGAGAGGTGTGGAGGCAGCTTGGCAAAGCCAGCATCCAGCAGTGGATCGACCAAGGCTGATGATAACTCACGATGACTAATGTGCAATCCTGTGCAGTCAAGTTGAAATATTTTCCTGCGTGTGTAGAACTTGGGCTGAAAGTCTGATCGACGTTCAGGGATTAGGTAAAAACTTTTCTGATTAAATTCCACAAATACTCGGCATTTTTGCCTGGTACAGTCGGATTAGCAATGCGCTGAGATCCCTGGACGAATCGCACTTGATAAATGTAAATTACTATTACTACATTATAAACAAAAGACAAAGATCCCCCCCCCCCCCCCAGAGAGATTCGCAGACAGCTGGGGCAAGTGCTGTCCGCAAGCACCTATTCAGGGTGGCACGGTGCTGATGTTTAAAGCACGGTGACGGGTACTCATTCAAGGCCAAGCAGACCTAGTGGAAACCCAGGAACGGTTAAAATATTACTCGTCACTGATGTTTGGCGTGGGTGGGAATTGAAACTACAGTAAAACCTTGGATTGCGAGCATAATTCGTTCCCTAAACGTGTTTGTAATCTAAAGCACTCGTATATCAAAGCACTCGTATATCAGTTGTGATCACGTGACACTCGGCAGACAAAGCGTATACACGTACTACTCGTATTGCAAGACCTCGCTCGTTTATCAAATTAATATTTATAAAAAAATGTGCTCGTCTTGCAAAACACTCGCAGACCAAGTTACTTGCAATCCAAGGTTTTACTGTGTAAAGCTATAAACTATTTTTATTTTTCTTCTTCTTGGTTCTTTCGGTAAAGTCACGTAGAAGGGAAGTAATAAAATAATAAAAATAAAACATAATAAAATTATTCTCACGACGTTTCGGCCACAACACAAGCAGCCGTCCTCAGGTGAAGACCAGGTCTGTCGAGAAGACAATGCAGTCACGAAAGCTTTAAATCGAAATTTTTATTTTACCAGGTAAGGCCCACTGGGCTACGTAGCTCTTTTCAGACGTGACCAGCCCACACATGACGGCTAAACAAAGTGGCTTATCACGTGGAAATTTATAGCAGCAGCCAAATACCCTAAATCAGAGGTCGCAACCGGGAACCCGATACCCGTACCCTACCCGATACCCGGCTAACCGTACCCGGCCGGGTACGGTTAGCCGTTTGCGACCCTGGTGCGGCCGGGTACGGGTAGACGGTGAGTCACTGGTGAGTAACTGCTTGTCACTCATTTCCCAACGTCTTGTCTCTTCTCACAATTCAAGTTCCTAGAATCAACCCACCCGCGCCTGCAGCATGGCTTCATCCCAGAGGTCGCAATCAGGTACCCGATACCCGTACCCTACCCGTACCCGGCCAGGTACGGGTAGGGTACGGGTACGGTCGGGTACGGGTACCCGTTTGCGACCCTGGTGCGGCTGGGTACGGGTACAGGTTAGGAATCAAAACCCGTTTGCGACCTCTGCCCTAAATGCACGTTGATTCTAAATGTGCTGGGAAAAACCGGAGGACTCGGAGAAAAATCCACGCGACCACGGGGAGAACATGCAAACTCCAAAAATACAGTTGTCAGGGTTGAGATCGAACCCACGACCTCCTGTATAGTAGGCGAGGTAGTTAACATCTCACCGCCCTAACCAATGCGCCACCGCTCCACGTGCACGCATCCCTCACGTGTGTACACACCAGGCGGGTCAGCGGTAACGCGAGCAGCTCGTAAACAGAAAGTTTGGGGTTTAAGTCCTGGTTGGGGCTTGCTTAGCCCAGACCATCATCTCTCCTGGGTCGATAAAATGAGCACCACTTTTAGGGGGGGGGGGTCAACAATGGTTGTCCGAAGGATAGACTTACCCCTGCCAAAGGAATGTGGAATTTCCACCACTGGCTCAAGGCTCTAAACAGGAGATGAGCACTTTTGACACTCGCATCCACATAGAAGTGCACGAATATAGACCCATACGACCAGAACAAGTTGTAACAATGTATTGATTATAATCAATTCTTAAACCCGTGACAGATGCATCGAATCGCCCGTGTAAGAAGAGTCAATGCTACTGGATTCGCGTCTGTATTACATACGTTGGGTCCACGTCACATGGGTGGGAAGAAACCGTATACAGATGTAAAGGAGAGTGACATTCCTCCCTGTTAAAGAGTGGTATGGGATAGTGCTCATCTCCGCTGACGCTTCAGGGAGGGTTGTGGCAATGCTAAATCACTATGACGGGCAGCCAGAATATGGCATCATCATCACATCATCAACAACAATTAAAGAGGTACGGGGGAAGGACAACACTCCATCCACTGCTGAACGGAGGTCTCCCCAAGCCGCTGACACATCTCTGATGCAACGATCGATCTAGTTCCTGCTGCACGCTAGCCGATCGCATTGCTCCATCTCCGCTGTGGACGTATTTCTCCGTGTGCATTGCCTCCTTCAAGCTCAGCAGCTACACTGCACTGAACTAACACACGAGAGCAAACTATGGATATAAATATACACGTGAAGTGGCCGCGTGGTTCAGAGATCATATCTGAAGTAGGGCGTGTTGTCGCGACTTTGGCTGACATTCCGTGATGAGTCTTGACCAGAGACCATCATCCCTTACAGCAGTGATGCATACCGCCCTTATATGCAATAATCTAATTTACAGAGTGAACGTCACTTTATAGAGCGCCGTCTCGGTCCAGAGCTGCGATTCGAATTATTTTGCGTTGTTGAAAAACATTCCGGTGAATTGCAGCGCCTATGGTGGACATACAGAGGTCATGTGAACCCATTGAATACAACATATCATCGGAGGCCATGATCTATCCACTGCTGAATGAAGGCCCTCCCAAAAACCGTCACCATCCCTTATCCTGTGCAACAATCCATCTCCTGCACACGAGCCGATTCATCGCTCCACCGTCCACAGTTGACGATGTTCGGTGGTAGAGACTGATCACGGAATGACAGCCAAAGCAGGGAAACACGTGCAACATACACAAATTTAAAAACATGGACCTTACACATGCTTTCCAACATGCGTAACGAGCCAAACAATCGACATTCATCCACATCAACCAATGGCATCGTTACAAACAGCTCTAACCCACCCCGTCCTGCCAGTTTTACATCACCTTCAGCGACGTCGTTCCGTGCTGCAGCCTCCAACAGGGTGATGTTGGGAGTAAAACGCACGCCTTTCTGGGGCGATGCTTTACCGGACGTCCCGGCCAAACCCGTCTTTGCATCTCCCGAACCTCCTTCTCCTCCCCCTTTGCCGCCCGCTCTCTTCTTTTTCCGCTTGCCGTGCTGCTCCTCCTTCTCGTGCTGCGTCCATCGCTTCAGCTGCTGCGCACGGCGCTTCTGCGCGTGGCGCAGTCGCTCCTGGGCACTCATCCGCTCCACCGACGTCAGCTCGGCCATCAGGTCCGCGTGCTCCGCCATGGCCGACGTCAATCTCCGGCGGAAATCCCCCAAACTCCGTGGTGCGTCGCCGTCGCCACCCCACCAACCACCAAAATCCACCGAAAAAAATCCGTTCGCTAATATTCTGCCGTTCTTGCAAAAAGTCCTCCGTTCGATTCCCCACAAATTTTCCGCTGAACTCCAAAATCAGCTGTTCTTCAAAAAAAATTGCCACCTGCGGATATACCCGCTGTTCGCCAAAATCCCAAAGGTTCACGACAAATTTCACCGTTCGTTTCCCCCAAAAAGCTGCTGCTCTTGAAAATCCGCCAATCTCAAAATATCGGATATTTCACAAATTGTGGCGTTACTCAAAATTCCGCAGCTTGTCGATATTTCCCTTCACCTTCCAGCAATGCTTTCTTTCGGATCCGAGGTCAGCCAGCCTGCCTCCGATTGGTCCAACCGGGTCACGTGATGGCAATCGTTGGGTGTTCCGTCTAACTTGTATCGTTTATGAACATCGTATTTGACCTGCGATCGCTACTTCCTTGCCGAGTAATGATCTCAAACGTCCCTTGGGTCTGGCACGTCAAGATGTGCCGTATAGACGGGGTGGTATGGACATTAAGCGATGATGATAATGAAGATCGGCAAGCTGAATGTGTTGTACTTCTTCTCGCACGTAGCCAAATGTGCTAATCGTCGGAGTTACTGTCGTTGGCCGATGGGAGGCCCGGCGCAAACATTACTCGTGCAGACAAGTGTCCTCATTGAACATGGACGGAAATGAAAGGTGCAGCCCTGCAATTATTCCGCACACGCCACCGCTGACAGAAGGGTCTCCAATCCAAGGGGGCACGAGAGGACCCCACCAGAAGGTATTTTGGCCTCCTACTTCCACGCTGGCGAGACGTCTTGGGACCAGGTGGGAGGAGCCACACTTTGCGAGCCAAGCCTGGCGAATTACGCAGCGAGTTATCGTTGCTTCGTAACGGAGAGAATCCTTGAGAGAGTGGGCTTGCAGAGTCCGTAAAAACTTCACAAGAGTTGGTTTACTTTTGGGCTTGCTCACAAGGCGACCAATCTGGCAGTTTAATCTTTTTTTTTTAAACTAAATTTCCAATAAATTAGTCATCTATAAAAAAAATCCACGTTGATCTTCTCACCGCAGCAGTCTCAAAATCCTGGCCACGTCTCGGGTATGGGTAGGAAAAATCTACGATTCACAGAGCCGGAACCGCACTCCTGTACGCATGGCATCGCTGCACTCGTCATTCCAACCTCCATTCCCGTTTTTCTTTTGCCGATGGCCATCGCGCGAACATCGTTTGCCAGTTCTCTTCTGGCCATGTCTTCTGCGCAAGCGCATGTATTTTTAAACATCCATTTACATTGCAGCCGAGTGGCGTAAATGCGTGTTGCCTTTCGTCGGTGAACGCCGAAGCCAATGTTGCAAGTTTGCCAGAGGTCTTGTTAAACACAAACCCATTGAGGTGCGGTTGAAGATTGTCGCTTCAGTTTTCTTGGGAAGAGAATTGGTCTGGTGATGGCTCGAGATCATCAACGCTTGGTGGAATATAAGTCGAGTCCTGTAATGAGATGATAGGATCGCTGTCATTATCGTTATCATCATTGTAATTATCATTGCCATCATTTTCAAATCTTCATTTTCATAACCATCATAATTGTCAAAGTTATCACAAGCATCATCATAAAATGTGTAATCATCATTGTCATTAGTGTCGTCATCCCCCGCACCTCCGATTCCTTCCCCCGCACCTCCGATTAGCGCGGTTGTCTACATATGGTGCGAGAAGATCAACATACATACATACACAGTGCAGTCACTATCTCATATGCAACCAATCTCCTACGATGGAACAATTTAATACTGGTAGGAACCTCCTGGTTACACCAGCCCACAAGGGATTATTGTGTCCGTCGTGCAGGGAGGGGCTGGGTGGGGAGGGAGGGGCTGGGTGGGGAGTTGGAGGGTGGGGAGGGGCTGGGTGGGGCTGGGTGGGGAGGGGAGGGTGGGGAGTGGCTGGGTGGGGAGGGGCTGGGTGGGGAGGGTGGGGCTGGATGGGGGGTGGGAGGGGAGGGGCAGGTCACCCCGTGGTGCCCTTATAAAACTCAACGTTTAACCTACTCACGCCGGCTTGTGCCCGCCCTCACAGTCGGGCATATTTGCGGAATACACCACGGCGCCGTTGACCCTGGCCATTGACCGAGCAACCCAACGTTCCTACCATCTCCCTCCGCAGGAATGTGTTTACCCAGAGATCAACTGTCATGATTTGGGGTCGCACTGATCCAATGATCGATCATTTGTGTCTTGTTTTCAGCATTAACAATATCATAGCAACACTATCGACAGCATTCTCAGTGTAGCAGCAATGCGCAGCGATGTTCACATCATTAAATAACAATGCGTAACATCAATATATTTCATTACCATTGAACAAACGATATCATACAAAATAAAAATCACTGAATAATGAAATAATGATATGGAGACCTTTATCTAGCAGGGGATCGATCATGGCTGATGATGGTGACGATGGACGATTAAACATAAACACTTTATTGTAGTTTCGATTTAAAGCTTTCGTGACTGCAGGGATTCATCTTCTTGGTTCTTTCGGTAAAGTCACGTAGAAGGGAAATAATAAAATAATAAAAATAAAACATAATAAAATAATTCTCACGACGTTTCGGCCACAACGCAAGCAGCCGTCCTCAGGTGGAGAACAGGTCCGTCCAGTAGACAGAGTCTGAATGGCACGCTCCCAGCATAAATAGACGCTCCAAGCCTGGAGCCGAAACGTCGTGAGAATTATTTTATTATGTTTTATTTTTATTATTTTATTACTTCCCTTCTACGTGACTTTACCGAAAGAACCAAGAAGACTTTATTGTAGTGTTAGCCGTCTAAATGGGTATATACGCCGCAGTTTGTGGGTCAGAATCAGCATCTTTATTTGGACTGTCCAGTAGAGGCACGGGATCAGCAAATCGCTTACAGGAAGAAACAGCACCCGATAGGAGTTCAAAATAAGAGAAATAGGTATGCAAGTCACCACAGATGAATAAAAGTAATTGTACTTGTAAAAGTACAAAAGTCCACAAATATCTGCCGATTTGTCAACACTAAATGCAAGCTTGGGGCAGGGAAGCAACACAACAACAACGGTACCAGAGCACACAGCAAGACAAACACACAGTAGTAGTTCCTCAATAAAGTTGCACATTAAAGTTGAACTATCGATACACGGGTGGAAAGGGGATCTGCAGGCTGCGAGCGAGCGGTGGGGGTATAATGTGGGTACTGCCAACTTGGTCCAAGACATCGGGGCCATCATGGAGCATGGAAGAGTAGGCCAAATACACCCTAGAGCTCCCTCTAGTGGAGGCCCTTAGGCCAGCAGTGGCGCGAACATGCTATTGCAGGGCTGCCCCTTTACCTATATTATTCCTAGAATAATGATTACCAGCTTTAAATTGGCGTCAAGAGTAAACTAAACTTCTTCTTGGTTCTTTCGGTAAAGTCACGTAGAAGGGAAATAATAAAGTAATAAAAATAAAACATAATAAAATAAAAAACTAAACTTTTTTTTATTTTACCAGCAGCAGCCAAATACTCTCAATGAGTGATGTTGTTGATTCAAAATGTGGAGGGGAAAACCCGGAGGACCCGGAGAAAAACCCACGCGACCACGGGGAGAGAGACACGAAAACTCCAAATATACAGCAGCAGGCGTCAGGGTAGTGATCGAACCCACGACCTCCTGCACACCAGGCGAGGTAGTTAACATCTCCTAGCCACCGTGATGATGATGAGAAAGATAGAGAGACACCGCAAACTCCAAATATGCAGCAGGCGTCAGGGTAGTGATCGAACCCACGACCTCCTGCACACCTGGCGAGGTGGTTAACATCTCCTAGCCACAGTGATGATGATGATAAGAGAGAGACACGCAAACTTCAAATATACAGCAGCAGGCGTCAGGGTAGTGATCGAACCCACGACCTCCTGTACACCAGGCGAGGTAGTTAACATCTCCTAGCCACAGTGATGATGATGATGATGAGAGAGAGACACGCAAACTTCAAATATACAGCAGCAGGCGTCAGGGTAGTGATCGAACCCACGACCTCCTGCACACCAGGCGAGGTAGTTAACATCTCATAGCCATCCTGAGTATGCAGTGAGTAGCATTGCCCCAGGAGCAATAATAATTAAATAATACAGGGAGATAATCAACCAGCAGTGGATTAATCTCGCCTTATGACAATGACGAATACAATAAACGCACAGCAAATGTTTTATTTAATTAGCATCCGTTACATGATTACCATTCACAGCAAAAAAACGACACCATCGCCAATACATAATACCATTTACAATAGGGCCTCCCTGCCCTTTGCTTATCCGTTGTGCGAAATCAAAACCCGTTACATTTAATACAAAACTCGCGAATCGCGTCTCTTGCCGCTACGCGAGCACAATCCGAACATCAGCGGAGGTTATCGCGGCCTAATCAGCGCAACATCGATCAAATAAACCGTGTAATTGTTGTTTTACGTAATTATAAATGTTGCTATTAAATGTAACAGGTACCTTTCTAAGCCTCCGGTCTCTCTCTCCGCGGCTTCTACGCTTGTATCGACTCCATTTCTCGTTTCGATTCTCGTTCAGGAATCGTTTCAGGAATCGATTCCTAATACTAAGCAGCGCTTGGATGCGGAGTCAACCAGCGAGCGGACCACGGAGTACGAACGTCGATTCGATTCGTCGATTCACACAAAGTGCATTTGCTATAGCTCTAGCGAACGGGTGGAATCGATTCCGTTAAGGATGCAATCGTATCGCTTTCGATTCTCTACAACCTGTTGGCAATGTTCGTACTTTAACCGAGGGGGATGCAATAAAATAAATAAAATAATCGGACGTCATCGAGACAATTTATTTTAATCGCAATTTGGCGAAATTGTTTACATGCCGAAAGTACTTTTCGAAGTATTTGGCTGTTATATGATCGAACCCCTCATTTTGTTGAGCTTATCATTTGTGATGACCGGTTTTTTTTTCTATTATACCATAACCCCTCTGGTAAAATAAAATAATCGTAAATAGTTTCAGTTTTAATAGTTGGCTGGAACAAATCTCACACAACTGAAAATAATTTCAAGATAATCGGATCGCACTCGCGCGAATCGATGCACGACTCTCCCATCACTTACATGGCCCGGATCTCGTTTGTGATTGGTTAAGAGATAATTTATGCAAAACTTTGGGGGGCGGGGGGAGGGGGGAAATCTCAAATCGACCAATCGGTAAGCGCGCGTGAGCCGGTGACGTAGATCGCCACGTGACATTACAATTAAGAACGGCTCCTTTGAAGGTGTGACGTCATGCGCCCAATTATCCTAATTGGCTGAATCAGAAATTTCCATTGAGACTCAGAATCAATTTTTATTGGTAAGGAACCTCCTGGTTACACCAGCCCACAGGAGATTATTGTGTCCGTCCGTCCGTCGTGCAGGGAGGGGTTGGGTGGGGAGGGAGGGGCTGGGTGGGGAGGGGAGGGTGGGGAGGGTGGGGCTGGGTGGGGAGGGTGGGGAGGGGCTGGGTGGGGAGGGGAGGGTGGGGAGGGGCTGGGTGGGGAGGGAGGGGCTGGGTGGGGAGGGTGGGGAGGGCTGGGTGGGGAGGGAGGGGCTGGGTGGGGAGGGGAGGGTGGGGAGGGTGGGGCTGGGTAGGGAGGGAGGGGCTGGGTGGAGAGGGAGGGGCTGGGTGGGGAGGGTGGGGAGGGGAGGGAGGGGCTGGGTGGGGAGGGGCTGGTCACCCCGTGGTGCCCTTATAAAACTCAACGTTTAACCTACTCACGCCGGCTTGTGCCCGCCCTCACAGTAGGGCATATTTGCGGAATACACCACGCCGCCGTTGACCCTGGCCATTGACCGAGCAACCCGACGTTCCTACCAGCTCCCTCCGCAGGACAATGTGTTTTATTGAACCCAAATTATTTCCTTTCTGCCAGGGGCGTCAGTGTCTCCGTCTTGCCACCAGAGGGCGTCAGACATCCGTGCAAAAAGGAAGCGGGGATATCCCAGGGCGCAAAGTCGCCCTCTTCTTCCCACGTGTGCGTCAATCAGTGGGTTTGGGGCCGTCCATAAATGACGTCACGCACCTAGGGGGGGGGGGGGGGTCAGACATTTGTGACGATGTGTGATGAGAGGGAGGGGGGTTTGAGAAATGTGACGTCACATCAAAATGCGCAACTTCTAAATAGACAACACGTTCTACTTAATTAGACTTTGTAATAAATGTTTTCTCCTACAACATCAGAGTGCAGCGCCACATTAAATACGCACAACAATGACAATAGTTTAAAGCGATTTGAAGCATGTTTTTTTGGGATGGGGGGGGGGCAGAGCTTTGTGACGTCATATTTGAGGGGGGGTCTGACTTTTTGTGACGCCGTGTGACTAGGGGGGGGGGGGTGGGGGGGGTAAAAAATCGTCCAAAATCGCGTGACGTCATTTATGGACGACCCCTTTGGCCACCCATCTTCGGCCATTGAGATGGACTGTTGTTATTTTATTCAAGACGTAGGCTTTTAACACACATCTGGCTGTCTGCCTGATGAAGCTGGTTGTAATTCTTCTTGGTTCTTTCGGTAAAGTCACGTAGAATGAAAATAATAAAGTAATAAAAATAAAACATAATAAAATAATATAACAATATAATATAATATCAGACCGCCCCTCAAATATGCTGTTTGTTATTAATATTATAATGAATATAATTACATAATTACTATATATAGATAAATAATGAAATGCTAATTATTAGTTTTAAGTACGAAACACAACAAAAGAGTCGACAATTCGCCCCAAAAAACCCCCAATTAAGTTGCTCGGAAAATGTACTGTTATAATAATGATAATTACATATAGGCCCAAAGGCCCAAAACGTCAAGCGTCCGGAAACTAACAGCACTATCAGAGTTGTAACAGTTAAGAGGAGTGTGTAACGCGTTTCTCGAGTAGATCAAGGTGATGATGAGGGCTAGGGGGAAAAGGGGACGACGATGATGACGACGACGATGATGATGATGACGACGATGATGACGACGACGATGATAACGATGATGATGATGACGACGACGATGATGACGACAATGATGATGATTATGATGATGACGACGACGATGATGGTGACGATGATGATGATGACGGGAGGAGGGAATTCCAAAGTGGAGCAATGCGAGGGTTAGAAGCAGAAATTTTAGTGAGGTGGCCTGCAGTGTGGTGGGTGAGTGGGTGGGTGGGTGAGTGAGTGAGTGGGTGATTGAGTGGGTAGGTGAGTGGGTGGGTGAGTGGGTGAGTGCGTGGGTGAGTGGGTGAGTGGGTGGGTGAGTGATTTGGTGCGTGAGTGGGTGAGTGGGTGGGTGAGTGGGTGGGTGAGTGAGTGGGTGGGTGAGTGGCTAGGTGAGTGGGTGCGTGAGTGGGCGAGTGAGTGGGCGGGTGAGTGGGTGGGTGAGTGCGTGAGTGGGTGGGTGAGTGGGTGAGTGAGTGGGTGGGTGAGTGGGTGAGTGAGTGGGTGCGTGAGTGGGTGAGTGGTTGGGTGAGTGAGTGAGTGGGTGGGTGAGTGGGTGAGTGAGTGGTGGGTGAGTGAGTGAGTGAGTGGGTGAGAGAGTGAGTGGGTGGGTGGGTGGGTGAGTGGGTGGGTGGGTGAGTGAGTGGGTGAGTGGGTGAGTGAGTGGGTGAGTGAGTGGGTGAGTGAGTGAGTTAGTGGGTGGGTGGGTGAGTGAGTGAGTGAGTGGGTGAGTGAGTGAGTGGGTGAGTGAGTGGGTGAGTGAGTGAGTGGGTGAGTGAGTGAGTGGGTTAGTAAGTGGGTGGGTTAGTGAGTGAGTGGGTGGGTGAGTTGGTGGATGAGTGAGCGGTGGCGCACTGGTGAGCCCTGCTGCACTACGAACCCGGCGAACCGAGTTCGAGTCCAGCTCACGCCCAATATCAGTGACATTTATCTGAACCGGTTCTGGGCCTCCCTTAGGTTGACTCAGCATCGAATGAGTACCTGGTGCTGTGTTTAAACATCCTCACTGGGTAAACAAAAGCGGCCGGGCGTGGTGCTGGCCACCCACCTCCTCGTGCGGCGTGCCGGCCTTCATAGGTGCTCGCTAACATCACTTGCCCCAACAGTCTAGTAAGGCTACACTGATGATCTTTGTCTTTGTACGAGTGAGTGGGTGAGTGTGTTAATGACGGAGTGGGTGGGTGAGTGGGTGAGTGAGTGGTGGGTGAGTGGGTGAGTGAGTGAGTGGGTGGGTGGGTGGGTGAGTGGGTGGGTGGGTGGGTGAGTGAGTGGGTGAGTGGGTGAGTGAGTGGGTGAGTGTGTCAGTGACTGAGTGGGTGGGTGAGTGGTGGGTGAGTGGGTGAGTGAGTGGGTGGGTGGGTGAGTGAGTGAGTGGGTGAGTGGGTGAGTGGGTGAGTGAGTGAGTGGGTGGGTGGGTGGGTGAGTGGGTGGGTGGGTGGGTGAGTCGGTGAGTGAGTGGGTGAGTGTGTCAGTGACTGAGTGGGTGGGTGAGTGTGTTGTTGTGACCTGCAGGGTGGTGGTGGCTGAACGTCGTGTGAGATAAGAAGACAAATCCCGTGTCTGTTGGGTCGCACTCTTCCCCTAATGGATAAAGTGATGGGTTTCTGAAACTGCTGATATCTTCGGAATACATATATACATTTTACGCTCGTACAATGTTACAGCGCGGATATAAGCGAGGCTGAGTAGCACCGCAGTGAGTACTTGATGAGGTTAGTGACCACAATAGCCACTCTGTGGGCTAACACTTTAGCCCATTAGGCAGGGTCGGTGTCGTTCATAACATCATCGAGATGTGATACACCCTGCCGACCACTAATACACACAGCTTGACAACGGTGAGCCATCATCTCAATGGCTCGTGTCCGCAAACAGAACAAATCCCATTACGATTACCACATCAAACTCAACGCACGTGGTCAACGCCACGGCCTTGAATTGAAAATAATAATACAAAGATATCCGACGTTTCGGACAATGGCCCCTACCCCATGAGCACACGTGTTTGTGGTTGTGTACCGCTGGCAACGCAGCATCACAAGATCATTGAGTACGATTGCAGGACTGAGTAGCGCGCGTGCATGTGTGTGTGTGGTCGTTATGTGCGGCCAACGACCCCCTCGTGTGCCGTGCCGGCCTTTATAGGTGCTCGCTAATAGCACTTGCCCCAACAGTCTGCTACAGGCTATACGGGGGATCTTTGGCTTTGTTACGTGCGGTGGTGCAGCGGTTAGCGTGCTCCACTATGAACCTGACCACCCGAGTTCGATTCCCGCTCACGGCCGACACCAGTGACGATTATCTGAACCGGTCCTGGGGCTTCCCTAGATCGACTCAGCCTCAAATGAGTACCTGGTGCGGTGTGTAAACATCGCCACTGGGGAGAAGATAAAGGCGGCCAGGCGTGGTGCTGGTCACCCACCCCCTCGTGTGCTGTTCCGGCCCTCAAAGGTGCTACTCGCTAACAGCACTTGCCCCAACAGCCTGTTCAAGGCTATACGGGGCCTCTTTGTCTTTGTGGGCAGGCGAGACGTGTAAGGCGATAGTGAACACGCGTTGATCGACGCTT